ACGAGGGCAGCCACCTACTCCTCCTACTCCTCCTCGTCGGCGGAGTACTCCTCCACCTACTCCTAGTACTCCTCGTCGGCGTGGGGAGTGCTGCGCCTCCTCCTCGTCGGCGCAGTACTCCCCACGCCGCCGCCGCCGCCGTCGGCGCCGACGGCGCCGACGGCGGCGGCGGCGGCGTGGGTGCGCCGAGAGGTGCGACAGAAAGGTGGGGCCCAAGGCTCCAGTCGTGATGCTTCACGGCGCTGCCATTTTTTCCCTACCTAGGCTCTGCCTAGAAGGGTTCTTACTCTCTTAGCTTAAAGGGGCCGGGCAGTGGAAAGCGCCCCGGGCGGTTCCCCCGGTCCCCTGGGAGCGGTTCCCCCAGTCCCCTGGGAGCTTTAGCTTTAGAATAACTGCCCGAATTTCCGCCCTCAGTTTTAACCCCGATTTCCTTTTACATCTCTCTACACATCTTGTGCCAAGCATCATGAAAAAGGGCGCTCAATCGAGCAACTCTCCCGAAGATCACAAGAAGGCAAAAGTCGAGCCCAAACCGGACAGAGTTGAGGAAATGTTTGCGGAGCTCAAGAGCCTGATGGGAGGCCTCAGCACGAAGGTTGATGCAAGCCTTGCCATCGCCCAGGAAGCGAAGACCGAAGCGGTATCCGCGAAGCAGGCTGCCCTCGAGACGACGCTGACCATAGCCAGCCTAGAGGACAAGATCAACAAGACCAACGAGACTGTGGCCACAGTGCAGAAGGAGGTCGAGGACATACAGCGTGCAAAAACCACCATCCGCAGGAACCACAAGGAGCCGGACTCCGACATCAGGGACAAGCAGGTGCTCGCGTTAGGTTTCAAGGAGCGTATGGAACCGGACATTATCATCGCCAAGATCGAGGCGATACTCACCGAAGTGTTGGGCGACAGCCACACCGCCAAGGTGGAAGCCGGCGGAAATCGTGCGAAGATGGGGATCATCACATTCGAGGACGCATCTCACAAAATCGACTTTTACAAGAAAATGGAACCGATCAAAGATAAAGAACACGTGAAGCCCATTTTCTTTCGGAACAACTCCACAACGGAAGAAAGGACTAATGACAAGCTACTTGGCTACACCAAGTTCCACCTCACCCGCAAGGGCCACGTCAAGGATGAGGACATCAAGATCGTCTGGCGGAAGAGCCTGGTGGAGGTTCACGGCCGGAAGGTGGCCTGGATCGATGAGTTCGGGGACTGGCGCACTACGGGAACAGCCAAGAAGGTTGAGCAGGACGTGAAGGCGTCCATGGACACATGGAGGAAAAAGGTGGACCCCGACCCGGCGACCGAGTCTGAGTGAAGGGATGCCCCTCCCTCCCGGGAACATGGGGCTAATACGACCCACAATTTTGAGTTTCACCCGCCATCCAGAATTCATTTACATAGGCATTCGATTTTTCCATTCCCTGTCCCCCTCTCTCCAAATGGAGTTCAGACGAATCTTCCCAGGAACACTGAGACTTTTGAGTGTGCCCTGCAGGACGAATCCGATCATTTACTTTTTAATCCCCCCTCTCAAGGAAGTCAGCTCTCAGGACCTACATCGTCAAGGCCAGCATCGCGACCACCTTCGACGACAATGCCGGCGCGCAGCACAGGCGGTGGCAGAAAGGGCTTTGCACATGCAGACGGCGACGTGCCTTTGAGCATTTTCACAACACAGCACACTCCACTGCCGAATAGCACTGACCGCCACAACCAGCAGCAGCACCGTCGACCAGCAGCGACCGACTACCACGAGCAACCACACACAGCAAACCTCGACCGCAACCAACCAGCACAACCAACAACACTGACCACCGACCAACAATACCAGCAACACTTAACCAAACCACCACCACCGACCAGCACCGACCACCAGCGCCATCCACTGCCGAATAGCACTGACCCCCACAACCAGCAGCAGCACCATCGACCAGCAGCGACCGACTACCACGAGCAACCACACACAGCAAACCTCGACCTCAGCCAACCAGCACAACCAACAACACTGACCACCGACCAACAATACCAGCAACACTTGACCAAACCACCACCACCGACCAGCACCGACCACCAGCGCCAGCAGTGGCACCGACTAACACCAGCAAGTTCACACCATCCAGCTCTGACCAACAACGACGAGCAAACAACAACGCAACCGACTCCAGACCAGCACCACCAGCAACACACACCCAATCAACCGCAGACCACACTCACCCAACAACAAGACAACCGACTAGCAGCGACAAGCCAACACCAAACAATCCAGACCAGCGCCGACCACGACCAACCAGCAGCACCAACGAAAATGACACCGACCACTGACGAGCACCAACAGCACATATTCATAACGATTATTCACAAAAATGCCCGGGCACTTACGACAGACGACCGGGTCAGCGAACTCATCGCAGAGCTCGACAACTGCCATTGGGATTTTGTGCTCATCAACGAGACATGGAGGACGACTACGACGGAACTATGGACAACCGTGGAAGGGCATACGTTTGCTGGATCTGGCAATGACCAGGCGTGCCACGGAGTTGCTATTCTTATACACAAGCGTTGGGGAAAGAGCATACAGAGATTTGAAGCCCACTCGCCAAGACTCGCCACGATGCTGTTGAAAAGAGGGCGGTTGAAATTACAATTGGTGGCCGCATATTTTCCACACTCTGGGTACAGCGACCCGCACATTCAGCGCATGTACGACGCGATCCACGAGATTCACAGAGAGAACACCAAAGCACGACGTCATATTATACTCGCTGGCGACTTCAACGCGCAGGTTGGGGAATCCCGTATATCAGTAGATGGCGACGACGACGACTCATCACTTCCAGGTGTGTCGGCCGCCACGGATATGGAATCGAAAACTCGAGGGGTACATGGTTGCGACACTGGGCTGCCCAAGAAGGGCTTGTGCTTGCCAATACGTTTTTCCGAAAGCCTATACATAAGCAGATCACTTACATCAGCGGCGACAAGCAGAAACAGCTCGACTACATCTTGCTCAACCGCAAGCTCTTCAAGCATTGCACTAATGCCGAGGCCAACAACGTGACCGACCTGGGATCCGACCACAAGGCTGTCGTCACTGAGTTGAAGATACCAGAAGCAATGGTAACAAAACGACAGCGACGAGACGGCGACCAACGGCAGCGCAGACATGCACCACCCAACGCTTCCACCGGCAAGATCATCAATGTGAGCGTCTACCACGACCACCAAAGACGACGACTGAAACCAGACGAACTACCAATCGACCCACAATCCCTGGACGAGCACATCCAGCAAGTTCTCATCGACGCCGCCGCCGTGAGCAGCGCTGGAGCACCACGACCAGACCGACAACCAGACAGAGGAGCAGAACGTCTACGCCCTCTCATCGCACAGCGACACCAGACACCAAACAACGACCACCGCACCCGCAAACAACTGAGCAAACTGATACAGCAGGAGATCCGCGCGCAGAAGCGGCGGACACGACGGGCCCACATAGGAAGCGTGCTCGAACAGTTCAGAGACCTCAAAAGTATCCCGCGCATCAAGACACGCAGAAAGCGGAATCTCATCACTCACATGACAGACAAAGGAGGCTCAAAACGCACGGCCCGGCAAGAAATTGCAGACATATTCGCGGAGTTTTACGAGCAGCTATACGACACAACGGCCAAGCCGACGCAACGAGAGCGACGCAGCGACGACCTTCCACCCTTCACTGGCGAAGAGTTGGAAAAGGCGATTAGAGGGCTCCGGCTTGGTAAGGCTCCAGACACCAAAGGCCTACGAGCAGAAATGTTGAAGGACGGCACGGAAGAATTGCACGGCGCACTTCTCCACCTCTACAACGCGATCATCCAGTCCGACGCTCCGCCGCCGACCAGCTGGAAGAGCACTGTCGTCACGGTCATTCCCAAGAGTGGGGATCTAACGCTTCCGCAAAACTATCGGCCCATATGCACAATACCATTGCTTTACAAGCTTTTCAGCAGACTTCTCTACAACCGACTCCAACCAACACTTGACTCCCGACAAACTGCAGACCAGGCCGGCTTCAGGCCAGGACACTCAACCACCGACCACTTATTCGCTTTCCATATTCTCCGTGAGCGCGCGCACGAATGGAACCAGAACTTGTGGGTAGCGGCGCTAGACTTCAAAAAAGCTTTTGACACCGTCGAGCACAATAGCATGTGGGCAGCGCTGGAGGCGCAGGGCGTCCAACGAGGATACATCTCACTACTCCAACAGCTGTGCGAGGGGCAGACGGCCACGGTCAGGACTGACGTCAGCAGCAAGTCCTTCAGTCTCCTCCGGGGAACGAAGCAGGGCGACCCGCTCAGTTCCTTGCTTTTCAACGCTTTGCTACAGCACAGTCTTGCACCACTAATCACCGACTGGCAAAAGAAGGGCAAGGGAGTGCAGCTAGGATTCACCACCACCTCCACGCTCACTAACCTCCGCTCCGCCGACGACGTGCTCCTTACTAGCCAAACTCTACCGCGCCTCACCGCGATGCTCGACGACATCGTGCGCGCAGTGCGACCTCGCGGACTTGAGTTGCACCCTTCCAAAACCAAAATACTCAGCAACCAGACCAAACGGACTGGCAGGGCAAGCTCGCGCACAGTACACATTCAGGGCATGGACATCGACATCCTTCCCCACGATGGCAGCATCAAGTACTTAGGTCAGCTCATCAGCTTTCACGACGCGATGGAGACTGAAATCCACCACCGTACGAGGGCAGCATGGGCAACGTTCACTTCGCACAAACAGGAGCTGACAAGCAAACACTACCCACTGGCACACCGACTTCGACTTTTCAGCCGGACCGTAACACCCGCAGCACTCTACGGAGCAGAGACATGGACGCTCACGGAACCTCTTCGGCAACACCTGCGGCGAACACAACGACGCATGCTCCGCATGATCATCAGGACACCAAGGCGACGCGCTACCCGCCAAACGACCCCGACGAGTAGCACCCAAGAACACGCGGACGACCGCACGACCACTCAAGCACCTGACCAAGAAACCAGCAGCAGCGACGACGCAGAGAGCAACGCGCCCCAACAAGACACGACCGACCGACACAGCGAGAGCAACGACAACAACAATGACGAGGACGCGATGGAGCCGTGGGTCGACTACATCCAGCGAGCCACGCGGCGCGCAGAACAGCTCATGCAACACCACCACATCGAAAACTGGGAGACGATTCACAGACAGAGGTCGTGGCGCATGGCATCCAAGGTAGCCAAACACGAGCCCACCAGATGGACGTGGCGTGCACTGCACTGGCAACCAGGAGAGAACTCACGGCAACGTGGCCGGAGACACCACGGCGGCCAGCGCAAGCGCTGGGACGACGACCTCATCAGCTTCCTTCAAGAACACCGACCCGACCTGCACCCAGCGCCCACGCCAACCAACGAGCAGGGCAAGCCGAACGACCTCACTTGGGTTCGCTCAGCTCAAGACACCACCACGTGGTCGACACTCGAACACAAATACATCAGCACGTCGCCGACATTCACAACCAGGACTTCCTCCTCCTCTCCTCCTCCGTCATAACTTTTTGTGTGTTGCACCGAATCATGTATTGTGTGTCTCGCAGTTCCTGTGCATGTCTCTATGTTTACAGGAGGCCATGGCCTCACCCACCTGGTCTGAGCAGGCCCGGACAGCTGTCCGATGTGGTGGTTCGTTCGTTCGTTTAGCTTTAGCTTTAGCTTTAGCTTTAGCTTTAGCTTAGCTTTAGCTTAGCTTTAGCTTAGCTGTAGCTTAGGTTTAGCTTAGCGTTTCGCTTAGCTTTTCGCTTAGCGTTTAGCTTAGCTGTAGCTTAGCTTTAGCTTAGCTTTAGCTTAGCTGTAGCTTAGCTTTAGCTTAGCTTTAGCTTAGCTGTAGCTCAGCTTTAGCTTAGCTGTAGCTTAGCTTTAGCTTAGCTTTAGCTTAGCTTTAGCTTAGCTGTAGCTTAGCTTTAGCTTAGCTTTAGCTTAGCTTTAGCTTAGCTTTAGCTTAGCTTTAGCTTAGCTTTAGCTTAGCTTTAGCTTAGCTTTAGCTTAGCTGGCTTAGCTTTTAGCTTTAGCTTAGCTTTAGCTTAGCGTTACTGTTACTACTAATGCTGCTTTCCTAGGGGTTCCAACTCCTGGGTAGGGTCGCACTGGGATAATTTTTGGCAGCGTCTGGTCTCAGCGACGGCCACAGAGGGCGACGGAGACGGCGGAGGTCGCCCTGGCCGGACGCAGCGTGAAGAAGTGGCCAGGATGCCGGAGGCGCTCAGAGGCCCCAGAGCCCCCGCCGGATGCCCGAGATCGAGGGGTCCGAGGGCGCCCCGATAATCCTTGTTGCGGGGAGGTCCCCTCTCTGCTCGAGCCTCGGGGGACAGGGCCTCTGACTAGATGGGGCCCCCCGCTCGAACGGGAGCCCTCCCGGGCTCCAACAATTCGCACCCACGTTGTCGTCGTCGTCGGCGTCGTCGTCGTCGTTGTCGTCGTTGTCGTCGTTGTCGTCGTCGTCGGTCGTCGTCGGTCGTCGTCGTCGTCGTCGTCGTCGTCGTCGTCCTCGTCGTCGTCGTCGTCGTCGTCGTCGTCGTCGTCGTCGTCACGGCCTTGCGTTGGAAGGCCGATCCGATCCGATCCCTCTGCACGTCTGAGCACGTGGTGCTCTTGCCACCACGCCGGGGTCGTCGGGGCGCGCGCCTGCCGTAAATTACACCGCGCCGCAACTGCCCTCCCTGAGAGATCCGACGCTGCGAACAGAATGGCAACACCGCGAGACATCACGACCAGAGCCTGGACCCCATGATTCTGCTGCATCTTTCGATGTGGATCGATCTGTGCTGGTCTCGGGGTCCACACCGGGCGACAGCGCCATCCGTGAAGCACAACAGTCAGTGCCCGGATCTCAGGGTTGTCCTCCGCCCGTCCTCTTCCCTCTACAAGGCGGGCTATCAGCGCGGCGCGCAATAGCTGTATCATCCAATCCGCACGTCCGCCCCGTAAGATAACATGGGACCACGTCCGCGCGGCGATGCTCCGACGCAGGTCTGACGTAAATCCGACGTGGACCCGACGTACACCCGACGTGAAGTGGGCCTGACGTTGCCGCTCGAAGCCTCCAGGATGCTCCCCGTGAGTTGGAGCGCCTGGTGCTGTCTCTCGCCACGCCCCTTGGGTCGAGCCTGGTGCCCTGCCTGGCCCCGTCCTTTCCTCCTCCTTCGCCTCCTCCCCGGGAGGGCGCCAACCGACCTCGCCTCTGCTCGTGTACGTTCTGCTCCGCAGTCGTGGGGCGCTCCGCCTCTTCGACGTGGCTGTCGTGATGTGGGGTGCCCTCTCGCACAATGTCGCACTCGTCTGCCCGCGAGCCCTGCCGGAGGCGAGGCCCATTATCGTCGGCGAGCGAGGGGGGGACGCGAGAAGGGGCTGGCCTTCTCAGAAGGCTCTGAAGTCCCCCAGCCTTCCGAGGAGTGCCCTGAGTTCCCCAGAGGCACAGCAAACTTCTCCGAAGGCGCGAGGGCTTCTGAGAAGTCTCGCCGCCTTCTGAGAAGGCCTTCTCCTTCTCACTTCCCCCCCTTCGCTCGCCGCCGACACGCGCCGACTGGTGTGTGTCAGGAGGGGAGGAACACACACACAGACACACTCCAGCATCGATCCCCAGGAAAAGATGGGAGAAACTATGGCAAGCGGGGGGGAAGACGCGAACCCCGAACACCTGGTCAACTGTGGGACATCCTGCGATCTGTGTCCATTTGCTCGTGTGTCCCGGGGCCCCCTTTGGCGTGGCTTCTTGCCTCGACTTGGCTCATCACGCCGGGCCCCGGCAGACCGTCGCCGGTCTGGAGGAGGAGGAGGAGGAGGAGGAGGAGGAGGAGGAGGAGGAGGAGGAGGAGGAGAGGAGGAGGAGGAGGAGGAGATGATGGAGGAGGAGGAGGAGATGATGGAGGAGGAGGAGGAGGAGGAGGAGGAGGAGGAGGAGGAGGAGGAGGAGGAGGAGGAGGAGGAGGAGGAGGAGGGAGGAGGAGAGGAGTGATGAGGAGGAGGAGATGATGGAGAGGAGGAGGAGGAGGAGGAGGAGGATGAGGAGGAGGAGGAGGAGGAGGAGGAGGAGGCCAGGAGGAGAAGGCGTGCCCCCCGCGCGCAGGCGGCGCCGCTCGCCGTGACCCCGGCAGACCTCCGGGCGAGACCCACGCCCTGCAGGCCCACTGGGGGGCCAGCCGGCCGGCGCGGCGCTATAGCGGCGCCGCTCGCCCATCTGCTCCTCCGCCTCCTCCTCCTCCTCCTCTCTCCTCCTCCTCCTCCTCCGCCTCCTCCTCCTCCTCCTCCTCCTCCTCCTCATCTCTCCTCCTCCTCCTCCTCCTCCTCCTCATCTCTCCTCCTCCTCCTCTTCCTCCTCCTCCTCCTCCTCCTCCTCCTCCGCCGGCGAACATCTGGAGCGTTCCAGAAAGGGGCCTCGCCTGCGAGGATGCAACCTCGGTAGCAGATCATGGGAGCCTTGTGTGCCCTCGTAAGTCCGTCTCTAGCGTCGATCAGCGTCTGGGAGGCGATGAGGTAGCGCCGATTCAGCGTCGGCCAGCGTCGATGAGCGTCGACTTGGCGTCGATTGGCGTCGATTTGGCGTTGATGAGCGTCGATTCGTAAGAGCCGACAAGATGGTATGGCAGGATCCCATGAGTCGCCACCGAAAATGTAGCGAGTTGTCATCTCTTCCTCGGCGAAAAGCGGGGAAGGGCGGCGGAAGGTCGGCGGACGTAAAACGAGGCCGCCTCCGCCGGCGGAAGCTGGCTGAAGGGTGGCGGAAGGCGGCGGAAGTAAAAGATGCGCCCCCAACAGATGACATCTTTTTTGGGTTCAAGGTTTCCGAGATCGCCCATCTGGTCAAGGGAGCTCCCCCCGAGAAGCTGGGCCAGTGCTTCTCGACCGACTTGCCCGAAAAAAAAGGATGGCCCAGTCTCTCGAGCACGTGCGTCCCATGTCGCTGCGCGAAAAATTAGCCCATGTCTGTTTTTCAGGAGGGCAAAATCACACAGACACAATTAATCCTCGATTCCCCAGAACATATGGGAAAATATGGGAAGTGGGGGGGAAGACAGAAACCCAGAAAATATGGGAAAATATGGGGAATATTTTTATTAGTGTGTATGTATTTGTGTGTCCTGGGGCCCCTTCACAGTCTCTCGAGCACGTGCGTTCCATGTCGCTGCGCGAAAAGTTGGCCCATGTCTGTTTGGAGAAGCTCCTGGGAGGCTGGCCCAGGTTTCTGAGACAATATGGTTCTTGATCGCCTCTGCGGCGGTGCTGGCATGGCCTTGCCCCCTCCCCTCTCCGCCGAGTTGTCCAGCAGCGCCGAGCCAGAACGAGGCGTGCAAGTGAGTCCGGACTCGTGTGAAGTCCAGATCCCCTGTCGGGCCTCACCACGCCCCCCCCTCTCCCCCCGCCCCCTTTCCCCCTCCATGTAGGCAAAGCTTGCCAGAATCTAAAGACCAAGTGGCTATTTTTTCCTATTTCGGTCCTCCAGGAGGAAGCCTTCGGAGATTTCCGGGGACTTCGGGAACACAGCCCGGGACTACTTCTGGGGCCAGAACCCTCTCCCACGGGGCGTTTTTTCGCGCGGCCTCGGGCCCCGGGGCCAGCACAGCACACGATGCGGCTCGAGCGGTGCCGCAGGCAAGAGGTATGGTCCAGGGCCCCAGGTCGTGACCTTCCGCCACGTCGTGCCCTCTTAGCAGCGTCGGGTCTCAGGGATTCTCCCGTCCTCGGCGGCAGGTGGCGGGATGGGCTCGGGCTGGGCACCAATCGGCCTGACTGGCGGCGTCCCACGCGGGGGCTTCAGCGGGCCCAGGGCCCCGCCGGGGCCTCGGGTGCCAGGCTGGGCCGCACGAGGCTCGCCGCCCGCGCTGGGAGGCCCTGGCCACATGTGGGGGGGCGGCGCTGGGCGCCCCCGGGAGTCGGCGCAGAAGGCCCCCCGGGGCGCACCCGCGATCGTGCGAGGCCCCCAGCCAGTGTGGCCCTGGTGGGGGCGGGGGGCGCGCCGGGCGGACCGGCGAGGCCCGGTGTGCTGTGCGCCCAGACCTCCGACGCCTCGATGTGTTCTGTGCCGAGGCCTCGGGCGCCCGGCCTCCCGGCCGCTTCCCCGGGGCCGGTTCTCCGGCCCGAGCCGCTTCTCGACGGCCCCGAGGCCCGGCGAGGGCCCCGAGGGGCCGAAGGCGACGAAGAAGCTCCGTCTCGATTTTGTCGAGGCGCCCGATGTCAAGAGAGGGGCGCTGACTTGGAGCGGATTCTGGTCGGAGGGCGCCGGCGGCGACGAGGGGCGGCGGCGGCGGCGGCGGCGGCGAGGGTCGATGGGGCGGACGCGGGCACGCTCCGAGGCCCCGTCTGGGGCGTCGCGGAGGAGGCGGGGGCCCCTCTCGCTCTGCGATGTCGGGGGGCCTCCCAGGCGAGAGCCGCTTCCTCGTCGCACTTTTCGGGGCCTCTCGTGCGGCGGCTTCTTTGTCTTCGCGCTTTAGTGGTACCTCTCAGGCGGGTGCCGGGAGCCTCTTCCTCTTTGGAGTTGTCTGGGGAGCGTTCAGGCGTGAGTTGTTTGTGGGCATTTCAGGCGGGGGCTTCCTTTCGAGCGATGTGTTTAGGGACCTCTCAGGCGCGAGCTTCCCCCCGTGACAGTTCTTCAGTTCTTCTTGTCTTCGAGACCTATCAGATGGAAGCCTCCTCCTCCTTTCCCTTCTCGTCGTCGTCGTCCTCCTCCTCCTCCTCCTCCTCCTCATCCTCCTTCTTCTCGCATCGGGAACTACGCAGTGGAAGCGGAAGAGAGAGGGGTATATACATGTGCGCTGGCCGAGTTGTCGACCGATTGGGATTCTATAGAGCTTGCCGTGGTCGGCGTTTTGGGGGAACGCGCCGATTTTGGCTATCTACTTGTATATTCCCCAATCAGAGCTTGCCTCTGTAGGGGTCCCGCCCGGGTGCCTGGGTGCCCGGGGGTGCCCGGGTGCCCGGGGGGCCCTAAAGCACTATAGCCCTATAGCCCTATAGCCCTATAGCCCTATAGCCCAATAGCCCTATAGCCCAATAGCCCTATAGCCCTATAGCCCTACAGCTCTATAGCCCTATAGCCCTATAGCCCTATAGCTCAATAGCCCTGTAGCCCTATAGCCGTATAGCCCTATAGCTCTATAGCCCTATACCCCTATACCCTATAGCCTTATAGCCCTATAGCCCTGTAGCTCTATTACCCTATAGCCCATTCGCCCTGTAGCTCATATAGCCCTATGGCCCTACAGCCCTAAACAGCTGTTTTTTTGATTGTTTTTTTCTCAGGTACCATATGTATGTATGTACGAATATGTTCAAACTCATATAGATACGGATCACTCATTGTCCGTGCATGTATATATATATATGTGAAACTATACATAATTACATTACATACGTACATGTATGTGTATCGCTCTCCTTCTCTCTCATGCTGTATACTCATCTACATCACAATGTACTATGTCAGAGTGAGGGGGCCGAACGGTCATTCACTGTCGCTGGGCGCGTGGCTGAAAGGAGGTTATGCGGTGCGGATTGTTGTTGTTTGTTGTCGTCGTACCCCCCGCGACCCAGCCAGCGACCCAGCCGCGACCCACCCGCGACCCAACCGCGACCTGGCTCCTGACCCAGCCGCAACCAACCCACGACCCAACCCGCGACCCGCCCGCGACCCACCCGCGACCCAACCGCGACCCACCCGCGACCCACCCTCGACCCACCTGCGACCCAGCCCGCGACCCACACCGCGACCCACCCGCGACCCACCCGCGACCCACCCGCGACCTACCCCGCGACCCACTCACATTGCTCTTACGAACAAATCGGCGCCTGTTGCGAGCTCGCTGTACGATTTGTGAAAATTCAGCGCCTGCAGCGGGCTTCTTTAGAGTCTCGCAGACTGCCGACGTCCCCGCAGCCTCCTCACTCTTATCCGCAACTGCGGGGTGCTACGGTATGTACGGCTGTCTGTCTGTCTGCCTGTCTGTCTGTCTGTCTGTCTGTCTGTGTATGTATGTATGTATGTATGTATGTATGTATGTATGTGTGCATGTATGTATGTAAGTCTGTACGGATATACACACATACACACATATATATGTATGTATGTATGTATGTATGTATGTATGTATGTATGTATATATGTATGTATGTATGTATGTATGTATGTATGTATGTATGTATGTATGTATGTATGTATGTATGTATGTATGTATGTATACATGTATGTATGTATGTATGTATGTATGTATGTATGTATGTATGTATGTATGTATTTATGTATATAAACATACATACGTGTATGCATGCATGCACGTATGCAGGCGTGCATACGAATGTATGTATGTATGTCTGCATGCATGTGTGCGTGCGGGTATGCGTGTGTGCATGTATGTATGCATATACATACGTAGGCACTTATATATGTATGTCTGCATGCACGCATGCATGCTTGTGTACATGCATGCATGTATTTATGCGTGCACGTTATGTGCAGGTGTGGATGTGTATGTCTATGCGTATGTGTATTCATCTGCATGTTTTACATTCATTTACGAACGTATTCCCACACGCATGTCTACACATATGTATATGCATATTTGTATTTACATAGACATACATATAACGTTATATATATATATATATATATAAACAAGTGGCACGTGTGTGCCCAGGCTCATACAACAAACACTGACATGGCGTTTGAAGCAGGAAGACGCCATGACGGCGGGATCGGAGATGGAGAAGGGGAAGCTGGGGCGGCGCCGCCAGGGCGTGCCTAAGAGAAGGGGAAGAGGCAGGAAGTGAACGCAGAAGAATCTAAGATCGAGTACGAGCCCCCCCCGAAGGATTGGGGATTGAGCAGGAGGATCGACGAGGGCAATGCCTCTCCGAGGTCAGCGTTGCGAGGATGTCTCAGGCGAAAGTGGCCTGACCACCTCAGCTCAGGACATCTCGGAACCCAGAGTTGCGAGGATGTCTCAGGCGAAAGTGGCCTGAACACCTGAGTTCAGAGCATCTTGGAACCCAGAGTTCCGAGGATGTCGCAGGTGAAAATGGCCAGACCACCACGGGACAGGGCATCTGGGAATCCAGAGTTGCGGGGATGTCTCAGGCGGAAGTGGCTGAACCACCTTAGTTCTACTTGAACATTGTGTCGCTACGGACATGGTCATTGCAAATACGTTCTGAACAGCAGGTCACGTACAGAAATCTTGGTGTGTCCCCCATGGACAGCGACATCTCGCCGACAAAGTTCGCTCAGATCGACCATGTGCTTTGTCATGCCTCTCTTCTTCCTTGTGTTAAACTCTGCAGTACGCACCGGGTCGAGGCATTGAACAGCCACCACTACTTGATGACGGTGGAACTTGGGATGAAATTGCAAACGAAACCCGGTCATGTGCAGACTCATGTTGACAAAGCTTCGGTGCGGGAGCCGGCCTTGTAGGTCGATTTCACGAACCGTTTTCGCAGTAATTGGGAGGAATTTCGCGCTGCAAGTTGCTCTCTCGACGAAGCTGCGGTGGACGTCGAACCTGCTTGCGACGCTGTGACAGATATTCTGCGACGCAGGCCGCAACCTGCCTGGCGACCTTGGATTTCTCAGGCCACTTTGGACCTTATCGAACCGAGAAACGTACACAGGCGAATGGGCGATGTTTGTAACGAGAACGCGGTTAATAAGGCTATCCGGAAGGCTGCGCGGGCAGACCGCACAAAGTGGATAAACGATACGCTCATTGGGGGAAACTGGGGCGCAATCGAGCAATTGAGGAAGAAAACTCAAACCAAACACGTTGGAGTCAGAGATATGAGTAACAATCTCACCGATGCCGCACATCGCCCTGAAGCTTTTGGCCGACCACTTCGAAAAAGGCTCAGTGGAAAGTCACGTTCCCAGAGTTGGTTCCCACAGCTACGCGCCCTCTTGGACCAGAGTTCTCCGTCGGCGTCCGACAGTTTTTTACGAATGAGTTGCTCTACGTTCTGAAGAGGATGAAGACTGGTGAGTCATCTGAGCCGGATGATGTGCCTCCGGATTTTTGGAAAGTTGTGTCTAAAGATGAACACGCATGCCAAACACTCCCTGGAGGTATGCCAAAGATGTTGGACAGAAAAAGACATACCAGAAACATGGAGAATAGCAAGCGTGGTTCTACTGTTCAAAAAAAAAAACGCGACTTTACCGAGCAACTATCGTCCGATTTCGCTGCTCTCGGTGGGGTACAAAGCTCTGGCGGCTATGCTACGCCAGCGATTGCTTCAAGGTGGCGCGGAATATCGATTACGAGACTCACAATTTGGATTCAGATCTCGCCGGGGGACCGTTCATGCGTTCATGTTGGTGAGACGCATGATCGACGCAGCGCTCTTGAACAACTGTGGCGGTATTGTTTCGCTTCTATTGGACCGGGCAAAGGCATTTGACCGTCTAGAGCCAGATTGTCTGTGCGATGCTTTGTCTCGGTTTGGGCTGCCGCGTCCTTTCGTGCAAATGATCAATGGGACTTACTCGCGTCGTTATCTCACCATCGTTGACCACTGCGGCACATCTGCGCGACGACGACAAGCGGCAGGCATCGCCCAGGGATGTCCTTTATTCCCGTATTTGTTTATTCTTGTGCAAACGGTACTTTTCCACGACGCTTTCTCTGACCTGCGCCATCAGCAAGATCCGGACTATGTGGTCACCAAGGATATCCCATGCGCCGACGATGCTGCAGTTGTTTCGCAACGCGGTGGGAATCTACAGCGCATGTTGGACGCCATCGTGTTGGAAGGGCAGAAATACGGATTGGAATTGAACTGGGACAAGACAGTGCGAATCCAAATTGGATCTACAGGTTTGGTTAGGAAGCCGGACGGAAGCCCAATCAAAATAGTGCATGCAGCCATATATTTGGGGGGCCTCGTCACTCATGGTGGACGAGTGGGTAACGAATTATCCAGACGCTTGGGCGAGGCCGGAGGAGCATTGCAGCAGATATCTAACTTGTGGACAAATTCTGCCGTCGGATGGCGGCGCAAAGTGCTCATTTATAGTAGCTGTGTGCCCAGCAAGCTGCTGTGTTCATTGGACTCGCTGTGGCTCCTGAAGCATGACATGCACAAGCTCGACGCATTCCATTGCAAATGTTTGCGCCGCATTTTGCGGATTCCCCACTCTTGCATATCGCGCGCCAGCAACGAGACGGTGTTGGCAGGAGACTTGTGTGCAACGGCGACGGCACTCCCAGAAACTGGGCGAGCCGCAGGCGCCGGGGGCGCCCCAGACAACAGTGGGCAGCTTGTGTTTACGCCGCATCATGGGGAAGGACACCTCCAAGGTTTAGAGTTGCGAGGATGTCGCAGGCGAAAATGGCCAGACCATCATGGGGCAGGGCATCTCGGAATCCAGAGTTCTGAGGCCCCAGGAAGCCCCAGGAGGCCCCCGGCGGCCTCAGGAGGCACCAGGAGACCCCAGGAGGCTCCAGGAACCCTAGGAGGCTCCAGGAGGCCGCAGGAGGCCCCTGGAGGACCCAGGAGGTTCCAGGAACCCCCCAGGGGGCTGCGAGGCGGGGTCTGGGGTACCAGAAGGTTCAGAAAGCCCCAGGAGGCCCCAGGAGGTTCCAGGAGGCCGCCAGGATGCTCCGAGGCGGGGTCTGGGGTACCTGAAGGTACGTCGGGGCTCGATTTTGGGAGGATGTCTCAGGCGAAACCGCCATTCTCTGAGACTCGGGGTCAACATCGCTGAAATTACAATGTGTTTTTGAAGGCTTTCTGTTGGAATGTCGAGATTCCAATGTGTTTTTGGACCCTGACGCCACGATCTGTGTAAGGGGCGCCACCGGTTTTTCAGAATTTCGAAGATGTCCCTAGCGAAACGGCCAGAAAAATTGCGAACGCGGCGCGTACACATTAATCGCCTGTGAACTATACTCCCTCGGAGAGGTGTGTATGATATATATATATATATATATATATATATATATATATATATATATATATCGGAGGCTTTCGGCAATCCCGTTACCGTGATGGGGTTGTGGATCATCGGTATCTTGGAAGTTCATTGGGATGTCGTGGGAGGCACCTCGGGGGCCTTTTGGAGGCAGTTTTGAGGCATCATGTGGGCCGTTTTGAGGATTATTGGGGCGTCTTGCGGGCGTCTTGGGGGCCTCTTGGGGTCTTTAGGGTATCTCTCGCGGCCTCCTGGGGGCATCTTGGGGCGGAAGGCTCGCATTTTTGGTTGGGCTCTCCCTTTGGGGCCCTTCTTGAAGTCGTCTTGGGGCTTTCTGGGGCCGACTTGGGCGCCCTCTTCGGGGCCATTGGGGCTGTCTTGGGGCGATCTTGGGGGCCTCTTGGGCCGTTTTTGACACCGTGAAGGCTCAAAAGCCGTATATGCTATACATGCACGCTTTCCGATGGACATGTGGCGATTCTCGCCTCTTGGGGCCTCCCCTTGGGGTGCTCTTGGACGCCTCTTGGGGCGTCTTGGGCGCCTTATGGGCCGAGTGGCGGCCATCTTGGGCGTCTTGGGCCGATCGTTCGGCGTTTTTGGGCCCTCTTGGACCGTCTTGGGGGCCTCTTGGGGTCCTCTTGGCCCGTCTTGGGGCCCTGCTTTACTTCGGCAAGCTGCGCCGGGGCCCGGGGAGCATATCTGAAATGCACCTGACGTCACAGGAGTGCACGAGCGCTTTGAGCAGAAGCGGCCTGCGCTGGAAGCCAACCACTCGGGAACACATGGGCAGCATTGGACCAGTCGATGCGCTCGCCTTCCCCGTGCCGGGAGGTGCCGGCCGTCGACCATGTGGAGATGCGCGGCGGAACGGTGTGCAGGGATGGGACGACAGACGTGTTGGTCGAATGAGCAGTGGGAACCCGACCCCAGCTCCCACAACTATGGATTCTACATGTCAGCGTTTTGCATTTACGGCGAACGAGCGTAAGCGTAGGCGCCCTGTCGGCGAGACCATTGCCAGCTGCTGCAGGGGGGCTCCGCGCGCGCGGCGACGTCCTGGGCCCGCTCGACGCGGCCGCGCCCGCGCTGGCATTCCCAGTGTCGCGCTGGCATTTCCATTGCGGAGTCGGTGTTCGACGGACACCGACTCCGCAAGGCGACGGGGCTTTCTGGAAACTCGTACGGGTTCTCCTGGTCAGGTACCGTCGTTTGCGTTACCTGATGAAGGCATACGTGCGCAAGGTCAGGTGGGTTGCTCTCGACAAGGCCCGCCCCCTTTCGCTTCCCCCCCTGGGCGCGCCGCCGATCCACGACCCCCTCCTCCTCCTCCTCCTCCTCCTCCTCCTCCTCCTCCTCCTCCTCCTCCTCCTTCCCCTCCTCCTCCTCCTCGTCGTCGTCGTCGTCGTCCTCCTCCTCCTCCTCCTGGGAGGCAGCGGCCCCAGCCGCGGCCGCAGCCGCCGACGCCCGAGCGGCCGGCGCCGCCGCCGCAGCAGCCGCAGCCGCAGACCGCGCAGCC